GGCTCCGGGTGTCCGCGGGGCGGCGCCGCGGAACATGACGGCGCCCTGGGCGGCCCTCGCCCTCCTCTGGGGATCGCTGTGCGCGGGTAAGGACGAGGCGCGGCGTGCGGGGTGCGGGGAGGGCGAGCCGGGCTGGCCTCGGGCGCCGCACGGTGTTGACCAACAAAGGGCGGGCCCGTGGCCTCCTCGCCGCGCCACCTGCACCTAGCTTACACCTCCCGGGGCGGGGACTAGGGGCGCGCTGGGCGCCCCGCTCGCCGATCTTAGGAGGACGGTCTTGTCTGTACGGCGGCCTGCGGGGCTCCGGTTCGCGGGGGCGACCCCATGATGGGGGCGGGACCTGGAGCCCCAGGGTCCGGGTTCAGGATACGCGGGCGCGTGGAACCCAGGGAGAGGGAGAGGAAAACCGGAGTGTGGGGAGGGTGGCCAAGCGGGGCGGGCAGATCTAATCCGAGGGTGGCGGGATTGTAGGTGCAGCAGCTGCTGGGGGCAGGGCTGCGCGACCTTCAAAGCCACGAAGTGTTGCGAAGCGAAGGGGGTTGCTTCACACAGCCCGGCGGGGTCCTCTGCACCCCATCCCACCAACGTCTGCGTCGTTCCCCGAAAGGCGGGCCGTTGGCATCAGCTCCCAACTGCGCCCGCTTTCCCTGCGGCGGGCCCCAGGACGCTAGGTGCGGCCGCCCTGCGGGACCGCTTTGTTTTGGGCGCCTGGGAGGGGAGGTGAGGCGAGAAGAAAAGCCAACATGTCCCAGTTCGTTCTGGCCTCCGGGAAGCACGTGGCGGGGGTGGGTGACCCGCGGGGCTAGCGTTCGGCTCGCGTGTGTGTGGGTGCAGGTGTATATACGCGGAGTTTCGGAAAAGCGCTTTTTCCTCAAGGCCGAAGCACTGATTTTCCTCTTCTAGCGGTGCTGGGGCGCGCCCAACGCAGGTGTGCGCGCAGGGACCGCCTGTGGGAAACGTGGGGAGCTGCGCAGTGAAGCTCTAGGAAGAAGCCTGGGGTGGCGGGTGCGCGGTAGGCCGGGAGCTGGGTCCTGCGGGTCTTTGTTCCCAGCCCCCATTACACATGCAGCGCGGGTCCCCCGCCGCCCGCGGTGGCAGCAGCGCGGAGTCTGGGAAACCCTCGAAGGGCGGGGCCGGGTGCGCGAGGGCGGGGCTGGGATCCCCGCGCTGCTGCGGGCGTGGGGATCCGGGATCTCCATCCCATCGCCACCTCTATTCTAATCGCCTGCTTTGCGGTATAGCGTGGCTTAGCTGTCCGCACCGAAAGCCAGTGAGTTCTCGGTGTGGGGATTGGAGCTAAGTAGCCTGAGTGCAGGGTCCAGAGGACAGAGACCCTCTTATTGGTGCCTCGGAACGATGTGGGAGGGGGCATCATGGCTCTTGTGGAGCCATTTTCTGTGTGGTAGAAGCGAAGTGGTGGTGGTGTTGAACTTGTTTCTCTCTCTGTCTTTTAAGTGCTGCTTTGAGATGCTTTTTCCCAAGAATGAGAGCTCTGAAGTGAAAGGAAGGCATTGGTCTCTAGGGGGGTGGGCGGGAGCAAGCCGACTTAATAGGCACCAGCAGCCCACCTGGCTGTCTCTAGATTCCTCCTGGAGGTGCCTGGGTTCTTCTAAGCCCAAGCCTGCAGAGGGGGCCTCTTCCCAGGACAGGACAGCCTCAAACCTGGAACCTTCTCCTTAATTTGTCTCAGTCTGGCCTCACCAGTCTCACCTCCCTCCCTGTTGAGGCAGGGCAGAGTTGGATTGGGCCCCTGGAAGGACTGTATTTCTCTCCTCTTCCCCCTGCTCCCCACTCCTGGCTTGGGTAGTGCTGAGCAGTGTACCCTGCAAGGTGGGGCAGCTGGAGCTAGACTGGAGTCCCATCACCTGTGTTCTTGCCCTGGGAGGAAGGTGGGGGGTCACCATCTTCTAGTGGCCACTGCCCTGATTTATGAGGAATTATGGGAAGAGCTGCCCCAGGCCCAGGTTGGGGGCAGAGCTGGCCTTCCTGTTCCTTTGACTTCGTGAATGCCCTTCCTTCAAGCTCCTGGCTTGCTGTTTAGAATTACCTCCACCCCCTGTGGCACACAGTGCCCTTGTAGAAGGAAGATCTAGGATAGCACTGTCCAACAGAAATATAGTGTGAACCAGATATATAACTTAAAATTTTCTAGTAGTCATGTTAATAAAAGGAAAAAAAAACAGGTGTTTCTTTTAGGGCTGCTATAACAAAATACCATAGACTGGGTGACTTAGCCAAATTTATTTTCTCACAGGTCTGGAGCCTGGAAGTCCAAGATGAGTGTGCCAGGGTTCTGGTGAGGGCCTTCTTCCTAGCTTGCAGATGGCTGTCTTCTCACTGTGTCCTCACGGGGCCTTTCCTTGGTGCTGGTGGGGAGAGAGAGAGAGAGAGTTTTTTCTTTCTTCCTCTTCCACTAACCCCATCATGAGGGCCCCACCCTCATGAACCATTTTAACTCAAATTATCTTCCAAATATCATCATACTGGGTGTTAGGGTTTCAACATATGAATTTTGAGGGAACATAGTATAGTCCATAACAAAGTGAAATTAACTTTAATGGTATATTTTATTTAACCTAATATATACAAAATAATCATTTCAATATGTAATCAGTATTAAAATAATGAGACACTTTACATTCTTTTTGTTGTACTGTCATGAAAATCTAGTGTGTATTTTATACTTACAGAACATGTCAGTTCACACTTGCCACGTTTCAAGTGCTCCATAGTCACATTTGGCTGGTGGCTACCATACTGGATGGCACGGGCCTAGAAGAAAAGGTGGAATTCGTGCTGTAATAGTGGCACATGGTGCTTGTTACAAGATCAGTGTTCAGTTAGTTCTGCAAGTCTTTTGTGTTCTGTGCCTGGCCCGGTGTTCTTGGGAAAAAAGTCATCTGGCTCTTGCCTTGCACTGGACATCCCAGACACACATCTCTGTGTGCCACAAGAACTCCTGACATCTGCTTCTGTACTTGGGGTTCAGATTGGAGCCTGTGGGGCGGGGTGAAGAGTGTTCTGGTGGAATGTTGGGAGCTACTGGTGGGGAAAGAGGACCTGACTCCTGTCTGCCCCATCAGGAAGTGCAGGCCTTGACTGCCCCAAGCCGTCCTCATTGGCTGGCTGCTTTCTGACCCAAAGATGTTGTCCATTTTCTTAGGGGAGAAGTGTGTGTGTGATGAGTCAAGTGACCTTCAGGCCCAGTGTAGTGGTTGCTGTCAAGGCCATGTACCACAGAGCCACAGGCCATTGGTGCTCTTCCCCAGGGAAGGGTGTCCTGTGCTACCTGTCCTTATACCTGTGGGCACTCCAGGTTCTCCCTGGCCGGCTGGCCTAGCCTTTGGGAGGAGTGGGCACCCTCCTCAGCTCTTAGAGGCTCTTCCAAGGTAGGTGATGTGAGAAACTCACCCAACCTCCCAGGACCTACAGCTGGGTGAAAGCATAAGACCCAGAACCCCACGGCCTCGCACAGCTTGGGTGGGCCTCTGTGGTGTACTACCCCACAAGGTCTTTCTGGGCATCGAGAATCCCCAAATAGCACCTGGACCTCCCGTGGCACTTCATCTAAGGAATTTCCTTTGCAAAGAGCCCAGCAAAGAGCCCCCATCCTACACCATGGTCCTTTGTATCATGGGCCCCTCTGAGAACTGATAAAAGCTGTGGACCCTTTCCCCAGGAAAATACAAATCAGAGTGCGAGTGTGTGTGTGCACACATGCACATACACACATTGTGCAGCACACTTGCTGTTTTGCACTGATAACAGGAACCTGTGCACCCCTGGGTTGGCCTCTGTGAAGTCCTGGCTGCCCTGCACATACCCACTGTACCAGTCCTGAGGGGCAACTTGCTGTCCTTTGGGGGTTCACCGGGCTTGTTCCCACATTGCTGCATCCACTTACCCTGTTCTAGCCACTGGACATGACTTCTTTACTTCTGCCGTTTGTGATCTTGCCCAGTGTTCATGTTCCAGCCCTAGTCTCCTCCTCCTCCAGGAAGGCCTCCCCTGAGTACCTATGCATTCAGCCCCCTACCTGGCAGCTCAGGATAAAGTGGGGACCAAGGGACATCAGGTCAGAGATTAGATCCACTTGCAGATACTGGCCTGTTACCGTGGACTGGGATCTGGGGGCCGAGGGGGATCCGGCCTGGGTAATGCTTTTGAGAAGGACACTGAATAGACAGCCCTCAGGCGGGGTCCTGGCTAGGTAGACCTCACTCCAGGACAGAGTTTCTCAACCTTGACACTATTGACAGTTTGGACGCAATGTTTCTTTGTTGGGGGGGGGGGAGTGTATGTTGGGGTAGTGGTGAGAGCTGTCTTGTGCACTGTAGGATGTTTAGCAGCTTCCCTGGCCTCTGCCCACTAAATGCTTATAGCACTTCTAATCGTGACAACCGGAAATGTCCTAGGCAGAGGGGGTGCAAAATCACCTCGGGTTGAGAATATCTGCTCTAGAATGTTCTCATGCTTTAAAGAGACAGACATTTGTGGGAGATGGGGTTAATGGCTAATGTCTGCATACACCCCCCCTCCCATTGTATTCGGGGTGGGATGGTGGATTCTCATCCAAGCCTAGGAGATTCCTCCTTTGATAAACCTGCTCGGCTGTGAGAGTTTGGTTCGAAATGAGTGGTTCTGGAGTACCCGCTGGCCGCCGAGGAGAATCCTGGCGTCCTTGAGTTTTCCCAGAAGAGGTTCGGGTTTCAGGGAGGCGGCGGTTGTGGGTGGCCGGGCAGCCCGCCCGCCTCCCTCTGCCCGCCGCCGTGCGGTCTGCGCTCGTGCCTCTCCCTCCGCACGCGCAGAATGTCAGGAAGTGCCTGTTGCTGGGGCCTGCGCGCCGCCCCGCAGCCCCTGACTGCTCACCCGGGAGCCGCCGGAGCCGGGGCCGCCCGCGGCGGCCTGCAGGAGCGCGGGGGGTGGTAGCAGGACGCGGGCATGCCCTCTCCCCCGGGCGCGCCGGCCGTGCGGCGCCCCGAAGAGCCACAGAGGCTGTGGGCCTGGAGCTCCGAGCCCGGGGACGCCAGGGCAGGGGGCCAGCCTCTCCGCAAAGGTATGGGCACCAGTCTCTCTCCTGGCCTCG